TAATGCTATAGAAGTCTCCTTGTAAATATTAACACACAGTGAATTTAAGCATGGATCTACTTTGGCTTTGGTGTGCATAAAAAATAAATAAAATGAGGAAAAAAACATACTGAGTGCACTCCTTCAACACATACAACTGGAAAATCTTGCACTGCACACTACATTTAGTTGCCATTTAATCTGCAAGCCACTTTACAACCCACCTGCACTGCATATAATCCTTTTCATGCTGTCTGCCTTAAGAGCTCAGTATACCAACTGCACTGGTCATTTAGAAAGTCTCATCTTTTTAAACTGTTCTAACATCTCCTCTTGCGTAATCTATGAATCAGTGAGCAACTGTGCTGATAGATCATTAAAATGGAGGTTAAAGAAACAACACAATCATACACTCATGCCTTTAATCTGGTCGTGGCTCTAGTGACACAGGTTACAAAACTCAAGAGGTGGACGAGAATAGCGACAGTAATGGCCCACTTCTGTTGCTTTCACAACCTTGGGGCTTAAATAAGGCGAGTGGAGAGCCTATGCATGGCTTTGAAGGCGGTTGTGGCTGTTTTCTGTCACCAGGGTGACAGTTTAGTAGACCAAATAGCTGCAGAGAAACTCTAAGTTTTATACAAAGAGCTAAAGTGTTAAAAACGATGTTAAGTCTCCACTTATAGGTCTGACTGAGCTCTTCCTTCTACATGGTGAACTGTGCACTCTTTCCTTTCCTGTTTCGACACATTTCAGCCAACTGCACACAAACATCTATGTAGGTTGTAAACCCATGGCACCATAAATCCCATGGAACAGAGCCATAATGCAATAAATGAATTATTGCAAATGGAAACAACAGAATTCTCTTGAGTAATGTTATCTAGAGTGAATTAGTATTTAATATAATGTTGAACTGTAATTATAATCATGCACTAATAGATTACAACATAAATAAGAAGTCTTGCCGTACAGCGGCTACATATGACAGTAAACAAAGAATATAAAGATGATGTTTTAAGCTGTTGACTGCTGTTATAAAGTGTAAACATAATTACAGCGGAGGATACTGTGTAACTATTCAGTATTTATTTTTCATTTTTGCTATGCACGACAAGACAAACCTCATCTCACATAAAGACAAACCTCATCTCACATAAAGACAAACCTCATCTCTCATAAAGACAAACCAGTACAAGCAAATGTAGTTCTAACAAAAGTTGTAAATTAGTTAATAATTAATTGCTTTTGTTCAAATTAAATCTTTGCAATAGTCAAAAAGCAGCACACAACTGAAGTGGAAATGAGCCAATCCTGGCATCCGTGAAAAATGAGTTTCAACATGAAAAGCTTTTTTCTAGCCTCTTGTTGGTGAAGAAATAAACATTATATAAAGAGGGTAAGATCTTGTCGTCAGGTGGTAATTCTGATTTAAATGCACATAGTTTGGTTTGCATTCACACCAGGGACGTTTTGACAGTAATGTCTGACCCAGTGCCCACTCCTGAAACTTTGCCTAATTCACCGTAACACTCTGAGCCCCTTCAGAATTCAGACGAAAGCAACTGTTAACCTCATTCACAGAGAAGCGAGGAAGCCGCCGTCACTGAAGCCCATTCATTCCTCCCACCGCCGTCACCCCGAGCACGTGGGCGAGTCCTCTCAGGGGTCGATTAGTGATGACTATGTAGCTGCCCTCCTTTTCTCACTCTCATGCATTATGTATTAAAGACAGTGCAGCATGGAGAAAACAGAGGATACGGTTTTAAGGCGTAAAATGACACAGCATTAGAGGAAAACTGTTTGCTCTTATCGTTTGACGTTTATGTAACACAAGTGTCAAAAGATAAAGACTGCTATTTTTTTCCCCCTTTTGGATCAATTTTCTTGAGCTGTTTTGGAAAAGTAATCCAGTTATGCAGCTTTAAGACGATGTTGTGTTTCTCTTTAACGACATCTGTGGATGGCAATTTGAATTTCAACAGCAGAGACATAAAACCTACAAACTTTGCATCACAATAGTTTGGACTAAGAATAGCTTTGATATGGGGCATAGCATTTATCAAAGCTACACTGTAATAATGAATCACATCTACTGTGGACAGGAACCAGCTCGGTATACTTGAACAAACATCATTTACAGTAACATCTGGGGAGCTGATTATTCCGTTCTTTCTAGCTAACTACGGCTGATCTCAGCTTAATGGGGATAATGTACAACTGCATAAACTTTGGAGGATTAAAAATACAAATTAAACCCCCTTTTTTTTAACAAAGACAGTGTGATCAAGCCAGTGTGGTCATTACATAACAGGCTAGCTTTCCCTCATTGATCCAAATGTGATTTAGCTTCTGCTCATAACTACCCTCTTTCCACTTTGTAAGTAATGACGTGGTTAAGTCAGCACTCTAAACTAGACCATTCTCTACATGCTTTAGTTAAAAAGTGAAAATGTTTCACTAGATATAAAACAATTTTCAGCTGGTGCGGTTAATTATTCAGCTGCAGTCCAGCAGTGCATGACTTATCTTCCTCTCTGGCGTTTGTTAGTCTCATCAGGTGAAAACTACCACCTCCACAGTTTTAATATGCAAATGCAAGAAATCCTTTTCTTTGCCACCGGCCTCCCCCACACTTTGAATCCATTAAATATTCATGATATCTATGATTACTGCGCATTACACTCAGATGCCTCCAGTGCA